CAAAGAACTGAAACTTTTCACAATCTTATTCTTACTTATTTTTTTTTTCCCTGCCCAGAGCATTCTGGGTGTTTCAGAGGTAAAGAAGAGCCAATTTCTATGTTTGTGATGAATTTAATGCAGTTTTGAGGCTGCAGAAGAACGGGGGGCCACAAGAGCACGGTATTACAGAAAATTCATTTTAAGGAGATGTTATTTGGTAGTTTCAAGTGATTTTTTTTTCCCCAAAAAGGCCAGAAGATGTGCAGAGTGCTCAGGGATACAGCCAGCTCCTGGTTCAAGTGGAAGGGAGGGTACAGCCCTGCAGGGGATCACCAGCAGCTCATGGAGGTGACCCCGGTGCTGCCCACGAGGGGAAACCCAACAGAACCCTGCACAAACAATGTCCAGTGGGCTGAGACAGCCAAGGGCTGGGTAATCAGTGCAGCAATTCACCAGATTTTCTACAAGTGGGGTGGTGGTTAATGGAGGGACTCCAAAATATTCCAGCTTGGGTCATGGATCCCCTCCAGTGCCAACCACTGCCAAGGTGGCCTCTTGTGCAGAGCCCTGAGTGGCCACATCGCTGTGCCCAGGGCCAGGGGTGGGTGCCAAGACATTAATTCACCCAGATCTCTCCCTGCAGAACCAGGTTCTCTCCTCAGGAACCTTCAGGCTGCTGGAGAGGCTCTTCATCTGTCCACTGGGCTTCTTGTTCTCTATTTCTTAGACTAATCTTTGCTAATTTCTCTGCCTCTTACCCTCTTCTGAAGTGGTTTTGTATTTATCCCTTACTTTACCAAGCAGTTTGGACACCTCTGGGGCTGAAAAATATGACCAATTACTTTGTGCTGCTTTCTGCAGGTCTCTAGAAGGGGAGGAAAATATTAATTGCTGCAAGCAAACCGTATTTTTTTTTGGCCTTGCTTAATCCAAAGTTGATCCAAACCATAAATTTTTGGTAATGGTTTAGAGAAATATGTTTTTGAGACCAGCTGGAAGGAGCAGTGTTAGAGAACCTCTTTGTTTTCCACTTCTGAGTATATCAGAGGGTATCAGAAATGGCTCCCAAGGAACTTTTACAACTAAATAAAAAAGAATCTCAGTTATCATTCACCAAATCAGCGTTAAATCTAATTTCACCAAAGGAAAATGTACAACGTGGTAATTAAATTGCAAGAGAACTGTGCTCACTAAAATTGAAGATATTGCACAGCTTTTTGACAGAATTGCAAGAACAAATGAGCCATCATTTGCTGCATCTCAAATATTAACTACAAAACACTGAGAACTGGACAGTTTTAAATTAGGTTATGCCTTAAAGGCTGTAGTATGGGAAATTACAGATAATGAGTTTGGGGGGTTATTAATTTTTGTTATTATTGCTAAGGTAACGAGTAAATTGAAAGTTAGAGGTCGGCACAAGGTGAGTTGGCTGCTGGGAGAGATGAGCTGAAAGACTTTTCAAAAGCTCTGAGGCAGAACTGCCTCTGGGTGACCAAAAGCAAAACAATGTGGTCAGGCACTCTTGAGCACTGGTCTCCCCAAAATCCCCTCCTCAAACCCCCAGACAAGGAGGGCTGAGCTTGGGGAGCAGGAGGGAAGGGTTTTGTTGTCTTTCAGCTGCGTTGGCCTGAGCAACTGAGCATTGAGTAAGAGATCCTCTGAGTAGAGAATGAGTAGATAAAGGAGGAGCAGCAATCACAGCCTGACCTGAGCCAGCAGCTGCTGGGTCTGAGGAGTGGTGGGGCAGCTGCAGCAAACTATCATGGATGGCTTCTACAATAACAATTTACATATTGATTAAAACCCATAATTTAAATTGCCTCAGGTTCACTCGGAGCTGTTAGACTGATACCTGGCAGCCTCTTAACTGGAGATGGGGGAAAATTACTTGTACTGTCAATAGCTGTTTACCTATATTAAAATAATTAGCAATCAGAGTGTACTCCACTGCCTTGCACACAGGGAGTCTAATTAACTTTCTCCTTCGGATTTATACATCCACTAACAAATAAATGGATTTATACATCCACTAACAAATAAATGGAAAACCATCCCATGTCCTCCGTCATGGGAATGTGTCTGCCTTTATTTTGGAAAGGCAAATGCTGGTTCAAACAAGGACAGGCTTTATGTCAGGGATTTGTCATTGTATCTGTTCAGAGCTTCATCTCCTTCCCCAGCAGAGAGCATTTCTCCACACGCTGCACTGAGTGATGCGCTGCAGTGACAAAGTGTTAATCTCCATTAAAAATTTAAAAGACACACAGCTATTTTCACCTGGGGAAGCTGCTGCTGCTGATTCTGCAGCCCTGCCCAGCTTAGGCAGCCCTATCTCCCAAGCCATTACAAATTACCAGGGAACCATCCTTCAGCTCAAATTCCAGCAGCAGGAGCTGCAGATTGCTTCATAAAGGGATGAAGTCCAGCGCTCGTGTTTTGCTACTGAATAAATCACTAAAGTGAGATAGCACAGCTCTCCTGTCCTCTGCAGGTGATTGTCAGAGGTTCAAGTGCTGTGGCCACCATTAAGAACTCAAACATTATTTTATTCTGAAGATACACCAGCATGGTTGTGTCGTGCAGTGGTGAGAGGCTTCCAACAGGTTCTGCAGAGGTTTGAGGGGACCAGAGCCCTCCTGCAGAGCAGAGCCGTGGCTACACAGGGGACAAGACTGAGAGTAAGAGAATCTCATCTGTGGAATGGTCATGGAAACATCACAGAACCTTGGAATGGTCAGGGTTGGATCACCCAGTCCCACCCCTGCCATGGCCAGGGACACCTTCCACTGGGTCAGGTTGCTCCAAGCCCTGTCCAAGCTGGCCTGGACCTTTGTAGCCATCTACACTGAACATTCCTCTTTGGAGCGTAAAGAGGTGCTCACAGTAATATAATTTAAACCTGGCTTTGTTTTGAATGGCTGTGGAGATCAGGCTGTGCCTCTTCATGATGGCACATGGTTCTGCAAAGGCAACAAATCACAAAGAAAGCCTTGGTTCCTTCTTCCCCCCCAACACGTGAATTACATCTCCTGGCACCTTTTCCCACACAGAGTTAGTGAAATTTTTCTGATGGCATTGAATTAATACTCAAACAGATTTAATAATGGTGCTTTTCACTGAAAATTTAATTGTCTCTTTACATATGAATCTTAGTAATGGCCACATGAACAAAAGGAAGAGAGGGAAGAGGATGATGAGAGGCAGCTCAAGATGGTGCAGGAGCTTGGGATTAGCTTTTACATCTTGTATTGCTTCTTTTTAAGAAAAATGAGACTTAACTCTAGAAATCCAGACTCTTGTCATGTTTTTCTGTTGGGCACAGCACCTTCCATTGGGCAAGGCAATAAGGGTAGCAGCTAAATTCCATGGAAACAGGTAGCCTGGAGGGACCTAGTCCATGGGGAATCGTGGATTCCCCGACACAATGGAAAATAAGGCCATGAACAAATATGGGAAAAAACACAAAGGGTAAAAATCAAATGTGGACAGCAAGAACTGCATAGAAAATAAAATTGGAAGAGCTCTTATTGCCTTAATTGGGAAAGCTTATGATAAATGGTGGTAAAAATCATACTCATCATGATTACCATGAGTAATGTTTGAAAACCATATAAATGGCTAAAAACATCTGACAGGTGACATCCAATCCATTGAAGAGATACCATTTCCTTAATCAAAAACGAGAGAAACAAAGCAAAACAGTGAATTTATGTTCCAGGCCTGAGCCCTGTGCAGTTATAAATAGGCTGCTTAAATGGGGAGGTTTGTGGGACTCCTAATTCCAGCTGACGTGAGGGATTGTGGAAGAGCAGGAGGAAAAGCTGTCTGTGTGCTGCTTGTTAGAGAAACAGCTTGTGACTGCTCTCAGAAACAATTCCCCTAAAGCTCCTGAAGTGTCCCTCAGCATCCCCTGGATTTTGGGGCACTTTGGGCACTGCCATCCCTGCTTACAAACGGTGGGCAGTAAATATTAATCTGTATCACAGCAAATTTCAGTGGAAAGGGAGGGAGGGTGAGGATGAAATAACACCTAATGCAGACAGCTTGTGGTGAGTTTAAAATGTATGCAGATGTGAATTTAAAAAAAAAAAACAAAGCACAAAAATATCATTCAAACTTGTTTTTTAAAGCTTCTTCTCCAAAAAATGGCAGAACTCAGGTGTTTTAACTTGAGAGAAGATAAAGATTTTATTATGGGCTGTTCCAGCAGTGAACTGAGCAAATCTTCCCTGCCTCCATTAGCACAACAACCCAAATTAATAATTAGCTTTGGATAATACCAGATAGTTACACAGGTTTGACTGTCTGCATGCAAGAGCCAAGCCCTGTGGGAGCACACCCCACACCTAAGTACAGCAGATAAACATTCCCAGAGAAATGGAGCACTCTGTACCTTTATTTAATAGATCAGTGAAGCTGTAATGTCCTTCAGCATCTACAATTTATATCTGTAGGTGGATGTGTTCCTTACACTGATTTATAGGAATAAAACACTTGTCACCATGGATTTATAGACCTCTTTCCTAATTTTTGTCTGTGTTTACACATTCCCCAGCCATGCAGCTTGCAGGGGCTGCTGTAGTTCATAAATTGAATAAATAGGAGAATAATGGATTTAAGAATCATGGACTTTTACTTTTGATTCACATCATATTTTAGTTGCACTTGTTTTCCTATGGAAATGCTGCTTCTGGAAAGAAAAGTGTTGGAGAAGCCCAGTGATGGAAAAATCCAGGCTGTTAATTTTAGCTCTATATACATTCCTAGCCATGAAAATATTGAGTAAATGTATTTTATTAATAAACTAATCATTGTATGTGTACCTACACATAATTTTAAAAAAAAAACTTTGAGAAAAATTCACAAGGTACTATTATTTAAAGACATGGAAACTAACTAATATTAATATTATTAATTTTATTAATAAACTAATCATTGTATGTGTACTTACACATAATTTAAAAAAAAAAAATTTAAGAAAAATTTATAGAAATATAAAAATTACTGTTATTTAAAGACATGGAAAGGAACATGTGGGAGTTTTGTCTCAGGAGGTGAGGAGAAGCCAGAGGGAAAGCAAATGTTGCTGAGGAGAGCTGCTGGATGGAGTAGCAGAGGTGGAGGGATGGAGCATCCTCTGCTCAGGGGCTCCAGCAGAAGGTTAATGGAGATAAAGCTTTGTACCCAGAGACAGGAAAATGTGCATTGTTCCTACAGCTCTGAAAATCCCCTGGAGAAGGAAAACACAGCTCCACCTGTTTCTTCAGAGCCCATGTTTTGTGTCTTTCCGTGTTTCTTACAAACCTTCCTTCAAACCTCTGCTCTCTTTCTCTATCCCCTCATTTGCTGTGGGCACGGCCAAGCTGCTCCTTCTGATTCCACTGATTTTCAGGGAGCTGAAAACCAAAAGCTGATAAATAAGTTCTTCAGAATGGTCAGCTTGACCATCTGAGGATTTTTTTTTTTTTATGATAAATTCAGTTTTGTTATTTGGCTGAGGTCTGCGTGGGCAGAGTCACAAGTGGGTGTAACTAATCAGAGTTTAACAAGCTCTTGATGGATCCCATGGAAATTTGCTGGAACATCTAACCCAAATTAGCACAGGGCTAACCTGGCTCCTGAAAACAGCCTAAATTGGGCACTGGAGCCTGCTGTGCTGGGAGATGGCCCAGGAGACTGCAGTTAAAACTTGGGAATTTCATGACTTGTCTAGGCAGTGGGAGTAAATGTCAGCTTGTTTAATTTCTAACCTGATATAAAATACAGAACTCCTGCCCCAAAACAGGGAATTAATATGAGCCAGCCAGGGAGATCAGACACAGGGGAAGAGAGCAAAATTGTGTTCCAGAGAAGGCAGAGCTCAGGAAAAGGAAGATATGAAAAAGCTGGAAAAACAAAAGGAGGAAAGTTTCCTCCTCTTTTTTTCTTTTTATAAAAGTCCACAGATGAGTTTGAAATCTGGATTTCAGGTGCTGACCATGCACAACCCTTGTTCAAGTACATACCACATCCCCTGGCCGTTGAACAGAAGAAATAATTCACATTTTTGCCTCCCTTTGCCTGCATTAATTGCCAAGTACCCTTGGTCAGAAACCATTTGAGGCAGTAGAGAAACAGATTATGCGTGTCTTTCTCAACCATACACTTTCTCCAACTGCTGAAATCAACTTTTATTTTCCTTATCAGCAAGGATCCTCATGCCTATAATGACAGCAAGAGAAATAGAAGAAATGGAAAAAGATTAGAAATAGAAAAATCTTATGAAAACACTTGGAGAGTTGCTTGCTGATTCATGTGCCAACAATTGGTGTCTGAAATGGAGCTAATTAACATTCTCATTATGATAATCACCTTCAACATTTCCCTTTATTTTTCCAGGCTCTTCCCTTAACTGTCTGTCTCTGAGATAAGAAAATTATTATCAGTGTATCAGCCCAGATACTTTTCAGGGGATGAATGGCAAGAATTAATTCGGGTCTATCTGAGGAGAGTACAATTAGGAGGCCTTCATGATGAGACTAAATCTCCAGATTATTGGATCAGATATCCTCATTTCAGGCTGCTCTGAAAGCCTAACACTCCATTCACTTTCCAAAATGCACTCAGAAATAATCCCCACCATGAGGGAGGAAGGGGAGGAAAGACACCTGTAAATGGTCTGACACAAAGCAATCACTTCATAATCATAAAGGTCATTTTGCAAAGTTAAAATCAACCCCCTGATACCTCAGAAAAAATTATTGGAGTGGATGGTACTGCCTGATTTTGTTGTACTGGAAACATATTTAGGTAACATTATTGAAGATCTGGCATGTTGATGGCAAAGAATTCAGGGTGGGATGAAAAAAAAAGGCAATTTCAGATTTGATGAATGCCTCCACAAATCAGAATGAATGTGTCTCTGACTTCCAAATTGTATCTTTGATCTCCAGACTGGGGTGAGTTGTGCTCTGTGTCCTCTGGGGCCAGGGCTGTAACTGGGAATGCTGAATATTGAAATATTGAAATGTTAAACATTTAAATATTGAAATGCTGAACGTTGAAATATTGAAATGTCGAATGTTGAAATGCTGGATATTTAAATATTCCACTATCTAAAAATTGAGGAGAGGAGGGAAAACAAACAAAACAGTCCCAGATGGACTTTTCACCAATGTTAAAAGGAGACAGTTGGGGTCCTTTCCCTTTCTAATTAACTCTTCCCTTACCTCTGGAAAAATCGTCTCCAAACAATTCTACCTCTGGTGCTTGAAGTGGTCTCCAGGATCTCTCCTGCACAAGATCACAAATTTGCTGGAGATTTCTCTGTAAAATCAAGCCACAGCCTTCAACTCTGAGCATGAATTTCCTTCTTTATATTTACTGAGAATTCCCCCTGGTCTAAGTTATTTATATCCTTAATAAAAGGAATTCTTTTTCTTTCTTTTCATTCTATGGATTATTTAGCTGCTGTCCTAATAATTCATCAAAGCTCAAAAGTACCAGGGCTGATGGAAAGTAGTCTGGCTTTTAAGACTTCTTGTTGTGATGTCTATTTTTAATTAAATATGCTCAAAGAAATTTTTACTCTAATTCTGGGCCTATGTTGCAGAAAAAAACCTTAATTTTCTTTACCTTCTCTGTCACACCCTATGCTCTTCCCTTTTCCTTCCTTCCATGTATAGATCTTAACTTTGAGGGAAACTTAAGTGTGGTTTTTCTCTGTTTCTATCAGACTGAGCCATAGCTGAACACATTGAGTAAAATATTTTGATATTTTTGATATTTTGGTATTTTTGATAAAATTGTCATTAAGTTCTTGAAATAGCAATTTTTCTGCTATTACTTTTAGTAATTGGTGGTAGTTTTGAACAGTAACGGGTGATTATTCCAAGACAAGGTGTGACTATTAGGAAAAATTTAGATTTATTCATTAAATGTTTTTTAATCTCATGTGAACTGAAGAAAATATGTTAACATTGTCAGTGCATCCTCCACCCCAGCAAAGGAGCAGATCCTGAGATCCCTGGGATGAGCACAAGTGGAAAATATCTGTTCCCATTCCCATGTCATCCCGTGCATGACCGTGGGAAAAGGAAAATGAAATTCAGATTCTGCAAGCAGCCAATAAATTTTGCATCAGCCTGGTGGGAGCTGTGGCTCGGAGGCCTCGGTGAGCCAGACAGAAAAACTTTGGTGTTTTCTGGCATTTCCCAGCCCACTTATCCTCCAACCTGCTCTGAGGGTCTCAGAGCCCTGGGGACAACACCAAGAAATTGGGGTTTAGGGAATAAAACGGATCTGGGCAAGGAAGGGAAATGCCAGGGATGAAATGGGATTCTCCAGGGCTGGAGGATCCCAGGGCGAGGATCACTGGGGTCATCAACAACCCAAACACTCAGGAAAGAACAAACACTGCATCTGGGCAAATAACAAAGGACTTGGGACCTACTCATGAATATTTAATGATCTGAAAGAAACTAACTATGAAAAATCATTATCTTTCCGTTTCTGATGATCATTTTCATTTTAGGTTTCATGAAGTTTTTATCCCTGTACTATAGTACAATATTTCTCCATTAAAAATTTTTTGGGTGAATTAATTAATTCATAATGCATGAAGAAGTGAAAAAGCTTTTCTTGCCTTTGAGTTTAAAAATTTATTTCTGATTTATTTTCTTTTAGTCAATAATTCCTTACAATCACCTCTCCGTATCACTGTATCCCTGCGTGATACATTTAATTATAAATAAAATTTAATAATTACATTGCTGTAAATACACAATTATGGTGTTAGTGAAAAGGAACATCCTAGATGGGAGCTTTTAAAAATTCCTTTTTACTGGATCTGATTTCAGTGTTGTTTTGTGCTCTGCTTGGAGTTCATAGAACAGGGATAAAATCTCTCTTCATTGCTAGTTAATATAACTTGATAAAAAACCTTCTCTTTCTAGCCTGTAAAATTTACCAGTATTTGAATTTTGGTAGGATTAATACCTGCAGAAAAAGTTATTGGTGGTGTGTTAATGGTGAAACAGCTCATCTAGACATGAGAAATTTTTTATTTTTTAATGTCATATGAACTGAAAATCATTCCAGTTGATGAGATAAAACAGCAGACAATTTCCAGTCTTCCTGATATTAATGGGAGCCAGAACATTCCAGGGCTGCTGGTGCTCCATAAACCAGGGTGCACCATCACTGATCTCCTACTTTCCATAATTTTCCTTTCATGCCCTAAGCCCTGAGAGGGGGGAAACCTCCCCAAAGTCCTTTTTCTGTGGTGTGCTCCCCAAGCCAAGGATCTTCTGGTGAATGCCCATGGCAGAAAACTCTTCTCCTGCTGCCTACATGAACTTTATTCCTGCCCCTTTTTTTCCTGTGCAAAATCTACAGGATGCATGTTTGATTTTCAAATCCCCAACAGGATTTTTCTCTTGTTTTGGTTTCTTGGTTTTTTTTTTATGGGAGGGGGTAACAACTTTCATTTTTTCCCCCTTTTCACAAAAAGAATAAAAATAAAATAAATCCCAAAAATAAAATATAAAATATATATAAATTATATAAAATATAATACATAAATATACATATATAAGTATATAAAATAAAGATATAATATATATATAATATATATAATGAATATAAGTGTAAATATAAATATAATATAGAACATAGAATATATAAAATATAAAATAATGTAAAATATAAAATAATAAAAATATAAAATTCATAATACAATATATAATTATAAATATATAATAGATATAATTTATTAATTTATTATTATAAATTATAATTATTATAATTTATTAATATTATATTAAATATAATTATAAAATAGATATTATATATTATGCATTATATATATTATATGTGATATATATAATTATACATATAATTATAAAAATAAATATATATAAATATAAAAAGATAAAATATATATAATTATACATATAATTATAAAAATAAATATATATAAATATAAAAAGATAAAAATAAAAATATAAAAATATAAAAATAATATAAAATATAGAAATGTAAAATACAAAAATATAGACATATAAAATAATATTAAATATATAAATATTAAAATATAAAAATAATATAAAAATATAAAAATATAAAATACAAAAATATAGAAATATAAAAATAAAAAATATAGAAAATATAAAAATATAAAAATATAAAAATATAAAAATATAAAAATATAAAAATATAAAAATATAAAAATATAAGAATATAAAAATATAAAAATATAAAATAAACCTGCCATAAGTTGGGAGGAAAGTCAGATAAAGCTGCTTTGAGAGGTGTGAGCTGCACCAGTGGAGCTGCTCCTGCTGTCACAGGGAAGATTAGAGAGCAGTGATTTGTCTAGAGGAAGAAATACCTTCCACAGTGCTGCTTAGGAGTGTCTTAAAACAAAAGCTATACACTCGAGGGCAATGAATAGTTGTTTTCATCTCAATTTTGTTTTATGCTCTTCTTTGATCTAACATGAAAATCATTACAATTTATGAGATAAGGCAGCAGACAAGACCCCGAGGAGTTCTTTGTTATGTAACGCTCCATCCAATTCATTATTTTGTGCCTCTCTCCCTCAAACAGCTTTCTGAAAGATCAAGTTAGTCAAAGCTACCGTGGGTTTTTAGCTTTGCTAAAATCCACCGTATTACACGCTCAGTGAATTTCCACAGCTTTTGTTCGAGCCACTGACAGCACCTGTCATTTGCCTTTTTATGTCTTAAAAGCTGCTGGTGGCAGCATAATCAAAGATGTTGAGTAAAAATATATATCCTGGAGCAGTGGCCTGAAAAAGGAGGCTGATGATATTTTAGCAAAGAGTCTGTGTGTCATAACCTGGAGTTTTATGTTTGCTTTTTTTGGGGGGGGTTTATCCCTTGTGTGTGTGTCAACACTTTATAGCCCAATCTGGTGTCTGGGTGGGTTAGTAACAGCGTTGTTAAGGTAGAAAAAGGAAATAAAAGTTTATCATTTGGGTTTTTTTTAAAAGAAATTAGGCAAAATAATTGCTTTATCTATTGAGTATTATAGCCAGAACAAGAGGCTGCCATCTCTTTCAAGTCTTTGGCAAAATTCTGGCGTTCAAGGACTGTTACTTGGATCTAAATTCTCAATAAAAGTTATGAAAGTGCCATGGTTAAAGTCCCAGTTCTTCCTCTAAAGCAGGAAATCACAGCTCCCATGTCCCTGCATTTTCATCAAGGAAAACAAGTTTTTCACTTCTTTCTAGCCAGTCAGGAAAAATAAGCAATTTTTTTTTTTATTTTTTTGAAGGAAAAAGCTTGATATTTCATTCCTAAACTTTTACTTTATGGCTCTCTTTGTACAGATGGGGCCACCTTGCACTTCTAGGGGAAGACTGGAAAATTTTAACCTGGATTTTGGCCCTAACTTCTGGTTCCCTTTGGAAGGAACCGCTTGTCTTTGGAGGGGAAATATTCAACAAAGGAGGAGAGGCTGGAGTTAATGACTTGTCACATCCTGAGTGCTCCCAAGCAGGAAATGCAGGATTTGTTAGAGCCCCAAAAGCCTGTTATTTTCTGTAGTAACACCATTAAGTCACCTGTCAGCCATGGAGTGTACCATGGGCGACTTTAGGCCCCTTTTAGCTGGAATTAATGCACTTTTAAGGAATAAATCTTTGATGATATAATAGTTCCATGTACTGCAGCCAAGGCCACGCAGTTTGCTGTACATCTTCTGCGAGCAGCAGCCTCTGGTAATTAAATGTCAGCTATTCTGAAACTAGGAATGTTTTCTTCCCTCCCTCATTTGTCACTGGATCTTTGGACAGGAACGTTCTTTGTGTTTTTATAAGCAAAGTAGATTTTATGATGGGATTTTGCTGGAAGATTTATTGTTTTCACTCAAAGGATTGCTTTTATTCTTCTGACCGGCCAGGTGCTGTTATGAGATGCCAAAATTAAAGCTCTGCAGGATTCAGTGAGACTTCAGGTTTCCTCTCCTGGGGATTTCCTACCCCACCCCATCAAATGCTGTCATAAAGACAGAATTTTCTCATGTTCTCCTTCAAGAGTTGAGAGGTAATAATGAGTATTTTTCAATTCATGGAACCATGGAATTGTTTGGGTTGAAATGGACCATAAAGCTCATCCCACTGCACATTCCACCGTCCCAGATTGCTCCAGCATGGCCTTGGGCACTTCCAGGGATGGGGCAGCCACAATTTCTCTTCCATTTCACAAGTTTTTTTTGAAGTTCAGCTGTGTTAGGAGGTGTGAATGGAGCAGAGCCCTGACCCTCAGCACGTCAGAAGCAGCTGCCCCCTCCCAGGGCACTCAATAAACTCTGTGTGTTCCAAACCCAGCCTGGACCTGCACCCAGCAAAGTCCTGAATGTTTTATTTATGGCCTTACTTACCTGTCTGGAGACAGGAGAAAAACTAAAAACCCAAATCCCGGTCTTATCCAAAGAATTCCTCCATCCAGCCGCTCGGGAGACGCAGAAATTCAGGGATGCAGAGCATAATAAACTTAATGGGGTATAAAGCAGTGTTTTTCACTCTATTCCAACGTGTTTTGATCCACAGGAGAACAGGTGAATTTGCAGCAAATTCACCACTGGCATCACGTTTTTCCTGTAGGTTTGGAGAGGTTTAAAATTTCCTTTTTAAGCCAGTCTCATCAAAGTCGAGCCTACTGGGGCTGGGGGGAGACATCTGCCCATCTCAATGACATTCTCGGAGATGTTAATTTTTGCCACTCTGTGCAGCACTCAGAATTTGTGAATCTTTTGCAACATTCATAAGGGACTACAGAACATTTCTAGGAAAAAAAAAAAAAAAAAAAAAAGAGGGAAAAGTAGGTTAGACTTGAAAGTTGTACAATATTCACAAAGGCTCTGAAAGATGCAAGCACCTGCATATTCCTAAACTGGCAGGAGATATGAGGGTTTTGTCCTGTTTAACAGAGTTAGTTTGAAAATAACTTGGGTTACATTAAATGTGAGTAAAAATACGGGCAAGGAATAAAAATGCTTTCGGTATCTCATTAAAAACAAAGCCAGCAATAGCTTTTATTCATAATCTCCTTAGACCGTTATTATTTATTTTTTTTTTAGCTGGTGTTAGATTTCAATGATTTTCTGTAAAAGATGCATGTAGAAATCTCAGTAGGATAAGCTGTGCTTATAAGGATCATTTCCAGGACTTTGTTGTTTTCAGGTTTGTTTTCCCTAGGATGGAGAGAGAAACAGAGAAATAGGAAAAAAACCCTAAATTTATTTTAAATCAAGAAACAGTTTTTAGTAAACAGTATTTAGAAATAGTTCTAGTTTTCTGAGCCTTACTCTTCTTATTTCATGGTAAATACTTTCAAAGATAAACAGTGGGATAGCAGCATTATTTAGGATTATCAGAAAAGCTTAAATTTAGCCTAATTCCTTTGACATAGTAAAAGGTTTATCGGTGGTAATATTAGAAAAAAAAAAAATTGCAGGAGGGTTGAGAAATTTTGGAAAATGTAACTCGTGGCATGTTAATAAATGCATCATTTTCTATGCCAAATTTAAATAATCGACCTCATTCCATAAAGAAATATTTAATTTGAAAGCAGCATCATATGAAAACCTTTTAAATGTCTTTGAGCAACTGCAACCAAGCTGATACTGGGAGTGAAAACCAAAGAGATGGAAATACAAATTGTTCATTTAAGAAAAAGAAATTCAGCTCATTTCTCTACCTGCATTTCTTCTCCTTAACTTGGAAGGCAGGAACCCTCTAAGGAGAGCGATTAAATATGAATAAGAATAAAGAAAGGTAAAGTTAATACGAAATAATTCTGACAGTACTTGAAAAACGTACTGGAAAAGATGATGGATCTTTCCACCATCCCTATTTATAAGCCTGGGGTGCTGCTGAACTCATTCCCACACGCGAGGAGGGTTTGCTGCAGGTGGATTTTTCCTTCCCTTGAATGAGAGCGGAGCTCCCGTCTGCTCCCGGCTGAGGTGCGCAAGTTTCCCGACTCCTGCTTCTGAGGAGTGAGGAGAAACACCAATTCGCCCTGAGATAAGTTCTTACATCTTCAGAGCAGTGAATAATTGATGAAAGCCCCGCTCTCAACTCTCATCGGGAGCACGACTGTGCGGAGGGGAGGAGCTCCTAGGGCGCCGCTCATGGAATGCCGAAGGAGAAACCAGGTAACACGAATTGTGGGAGCTCCCATGTAGAGGCCAGGGTGTCCTGCAGGGAAAGGAGCTCCAGCCCAGGCTGAAGGATGGTCCTGCCCCCGTGGAAGGCACCAGGCAGAGGTGAAGATCCAGCTTAGAGACAGGGAAGGGCTGCAGAGTTGTCTTTGGCGCGAGGAAGAATTGTCCAGTCATCCTTCACAGCAATCCTTGGAATGACTGAACTCTTCCTACACCACAGATTCCCCAAGGAGCCAGGGAATGCCCAAGTCAGGGTGACCCCTGGGACAGACCTTGAGGCCCTGTCATTGTCCTCTTGCTGCTGTTTGACTTGGAAACAGCAACATTCCCTTCCAGGTTCACCTTTTTCCTTTATTCCCTGGAGATAACTCAGTCCTACTGAAGTGAAGGTTCACTTTGGATACCAGGAGTTGCAAACCCAGTCCGAGGGTGGGAAAATAAAATTCCACCCCTCCAAGTGCCAGCACGAGGACCATGGCTCAGGGAAATGCAGTTTTGGCAGTGAGACATTTCCAGCGTTCAGTGGAAGCTTCTCCCCGTTGACCAACGATTCCACGCAGAGAAATTCTCCTGTTAGCAGAGCGCTCCTCCACGGGCATCAGCCAGACCATTTGAAATGTGCTGCCTTCCACCACAGCCTCCCTCCCTCAGGAGAAAAAGAAAGGGAAATATTTAAAACACAACCCTTAAAGCCCAAGATCTCTCCTCCTTAATTTGCAAAACAGGGCATTTGTGAGAATCTGGCACCACAATGGTGGGAGCATCCCCATCAATACAAGAGTGGAAAACAAACTCCCTGGCAGCAGCAGGCACAGCTGTGGGTACCCACTCCCTCCCTCTCCTTCCTACCAGGGACTGCTTTTTTTAGCCTAAACTCTTTGTGTGATTAGAGGGGGGAAAAATGTGAGATTAGCAATGTCTTATAAAAAATAGAAAAGACCTTTAAATGCAGTTTAGGCTTCTGAAAAATAATTCCTCACAAACTTGGCAGTTGCTCTTAAAAAAAAAAAAAAAGAAAGAAAATTAAAAAATCTGCCACCTGCCATCTGGAAATAACTTACAATAATGACAAAGGAATTAAATGTATTAAAAAAAAAGAATTGTTTCTGCATGAAAAATTATAGTTTGGCCACTTCCACCTCCCCAAGGGGACTGCTCATGGCCTGGACCCTGCAGAGGGAATTTAGTGCCATTTAATTCTGGTTTTGGATGTTTTGGGTGTTCACCTCAGCTTCCCAGACCATCACTGCAGGTCTTTAAGGGAGACTAAATTAAAAGCAGCACAACTGAAATAAGATTAGGTTGCTTATGGCTGCACAAGCAGTTTCTGTGCATTGGACTGCTAATTATAATGTTTCTTTTAATGCCATTTATTTGCATATCTTTGGGTGTATTATACAGCTTTGCAAGTTCTTAGCAGGCATTTGAAAACTATTATCCATTATTACTTCCTTAAAATCATAGCACTTAAATCAGGTCACCCAGCTGTTTAGCATCTGATAACAAGATTAGAGGGATTGATTGTGCTCTCTGTAAGGCTGCAAATACCTATTAATCTAGGAGCCTTTGGAAGTTCATCAAAATGATATTTTTCTTCTGAGAACGTTATAAACAGTTGAAAATACATCCATAATTTGCAATGGGTATTTTAGGCTCTAAGGTACATTATTCTTTTTGAATACTAATCTTTTTAGCTCTTGCTGTAATTATTATAACTTCACAGAGTGGATGGTTAATACTCCAAGTTTCTGCTATTTAGTATGGTGGAGCTGTCCCCGTTTTCATTAATTCCATCAATCAAACTTAACTCTCCTCCACCTCTAAGAAGTAATTATAATTATTTTTATGACCATATATATGCTAATGAAAGGACTATTTCATGACATTTTAATTAATTCTCCAAATACTTATGGACTCGACGCTGACATTGTCTCAGAATGAGTGGTGCAGAGAAAAAAGTCAAATTATAAAGTTATGGCTAATTGGAATAAAGCAGGAAATACTGGCAACCACGACCAGAGCCATCTTGGTAATTCATTTACTTTTTAATTCTGTTTTGTGTAATTACAAATTTAAATGTTTTGCTTTCAAGGTAGTGTAAATCTACATTTTTGAAAACTTTGACACCTGGATTTTTAAATTTTTTTTTAAACTTTTTTTGCATCTTCTCTCTCCTTCATCTTTTCTTTGTTTTCTAAATTTGTTGGTACATTCTGGCTCCCAACCCCTGCCTTCACTGTAAGAAAACAAGTGAGAAAACTCTGAAAATGACAAAATGTTTTTATGTAAACGGAAACTAATTAGTTCATAGGAACAACTCTGACTTCCAAAAGTGTCTTAAGGCACATCAATGCCCAGAGCAGAACTTGCTGGAGTCAATTTAAAATGTGTTTGAAAACCAATAGGATATTTCGAATGACAAAAATAGTGGGAAGAAAAATTTCCAGGTTTTTTTTTATTTGGCTTTGAATTTCTTTGCTTCACCTCTGAATCTCAGCCACAAGCAAAGCATAAAATAAATGTGGTTCGATATTTTAGAATCATTAGTGACCTCTGGTGACACAGGGGTCGTTTGTGATGGTGCTGCATGGGTGATTTATTGAGAAATTGGGTTTTTGGAGAGCTGCAGAGAGGTGGGAGGGGAGGGCACATTGTGATCTTTACAGATGGAAACGCCCAAGCAGAAAAATATATCCCTTCCCATGGTGGGGATGTTGGAATTGGTGATTCTGCATCCATTCAACCCAAACCATTCTGCGATTTATAAAATTAGACAAAAGTCTGCACCTTCAGTCCCCTTTTGATTGACCTCCCAAGGGAGCTGCCCCTCCAAACCTCCTGCTCCCTGCTTTAATTGCTGCAGGTGATGCCCAGGACCTGCTGCTTGAGCCAGTCCTTGCCTCAGGTTAGATCTGAACTCTTCAGATCCTTCTCCTTTTCCTCCTCGGCTTGACCTCCCATTTTCCGCTCTGAATTCCCTCAGCCTCCTCTGACACATCAGCAAGGCAGCGGAGAAATCTCTGCCCCGAGCCCTGGGAAACTTCAGAGTCCAGGGATTTGTCAAATGTTTGCTTTATAACACAAACAAGGGTGAACATTAAAGACATGAAATACGCTCCAGCGTGTGCACAGGCGGTTTCCCAGTGAGGAATCCTGCAGAACCAACAATGTCATTTTCTCTTCCACTCATCATTAGCCAGCCCTTTGTCAGCACATGTTGGGCCCTTTGCTGTCAGAGTGGCGTTGAGGGCAAACGCTCAGAGTTCAGAACTGCACTTCTCATTCTTATGCATGGAAAACATGAAAAAACAGAGCAGATTGTGAGAGTTTGGAGTAAGGCAGGGAAAATCCAGATGTTTATTCTTGCAGTGCAGATAAAAGAGGTTGGATTCTGGCCTGGCAGTGGTGGAGCCCAAATTTTGTGTCTGTGCCAAATCTCCTCCCTCCCCACACAGTTCAAGTGCCTTTTCCTCATCTCAGCACCGATAGCTCCTCCTGCAGAAATCAAATTTAGCCTTTCCAACCTCTGGCATCCCGTGCCTGCCAGGCCCAAGGAGATTCAGCAGCTGCTGAATTTATAATTGTATTAATTATGAATTTTATTGATAATTTTATTAATAATTAAATAATCAATTCTATTACATTAATAATTATCAATATGATTATTAACAGTCATTATAATTATTATATATTAAATTATTATATTACATAATTATATAATATATATTATATTTCATATTATTTATAATTTATAATATATAATAGGTAATATATAATATATCAGAATAATATAATATAATATAATATAATATAATATAATATAATATAATATAATATAATATAATATAATATAATATATTTGATAATATATATTATATAAGAATATTTTATATTAGGTTTATTATAATATATAATATTATACATTATATAATTATTACAATAATTATATTATTATATATAATTCTGTAATAATTATAATAATGATTATTATTAGGTATAATCAATAATTAAACTAACAATTATTTTATTAATACTTTTATTATTTTATTTATTAATTATTATATAAATAATTATATTCTTAATTATATTAATTTTAAAATTAAATTATAAGGATGAGACATCTTGATAATCCCCAGAGGTGATGGGCTGGTTTGCTTTGCTCAGGTATGTGAGGTGAGACTTCCATGAGCTGTTTTTGGTGTCCCAGTGGGAATGCTGCAGGTTGGAGCTCACCTTGGTTGTTTATTTCCCTTCTATTCTGTTTAAATCAATTCCTGCTCTCTCCCCCTTCATGCACTTTGAGCTGAAAGCAGCCCTGGACCTTTTCCATGGGTGCTTTGCTGGGTCAGTGAAAGGATGTGAGCATCTCTTGGAAATCCTGCACACTCTCCTGGGCACTGAAATCAGCTCCATCATCCTGGATCTTGATCTTGAGGGTGCTTTTTTTGTCAATAATTATTTCTAACCTAATGAAATTCCTGTGGGGAGAGTTAATTTTAAAAGTTTGCAGTAAATGCCTGGACACAGACTGCTGTACCACATTCCAGGCCTTTCTCTGGGGTATTCAGAGAACCCTAACCTAGAACCCTGACCTAGAACCATGACCTAGAACCCTGACCTAGAACCCTGACCTAGAACCCTGACCTAGAACCCTGACCTAGAACCCTGACCTAGAACCCTGACCTAGAACCATAACCTAGAACCCTGACCTAGAACCCTGACCTAGAACCATAACCTAGAACCAATCCACCGGGATTAGCGGAAGCTTTGAGGCTGCGGCCCATGGGAGCGCGAGGTGCTCAGTTGGGCGGAGCCA